TGAACCAACTATGATGGACCCCCTGTTACTCTCTCCACTCTGAGGCAGATTTTTCCTGCCAAAATTCTGAGTTCCCTTCAGTGGCATGATAATATTTGAAGTTTTATAAATCTGAATGTGAATTAGAATCCTGTGATGGAATCTAATTTGGTTTCCACCCAGCCCAGGAACTTCTCAGGAGAAAACAGGAGGCCTCTTTTTATATCCCTTGAAATGGCACTGGAGACTGTGTAACAGTGAACAATAATAAAGATTTTATTTAATAAGTAGGAATGGTATGGGGTAGTCAGAAATGGGAAAGGCTGAGGTAAATGTTGGTAAAACAGTATATGTTTCCATTGACAGACAAGATGGCGTTGTAGCGGCTTATTTTTACAAATTCTTGGTTATCAGTGAGAGGTGGTTGACTTGAGTACTTAAGTTTCAGATACAATGTTTCTGCATATAGTTTCCTATTAACTGTTCAGGTTTTCTGGAAAGGTCACTCTTTTTGTGTGTAAAATTCTTTCCCCTTTTCTGAAATCACAATGTTTCTTCTTTCCCCTGAGTAGTCTATAACTGTTTCCTTCCACAACAGACCAGGGACTGCCTCAGTGCCAATTCCCTGTATAGCTGGACAGGATTTATATTTATTCCCTACAAAAATAATCCTATTCCTTTTGGTCTGAATGGGAGCTTCAACCTGCCACCCAGTCACTCTTTGCCAAAATCTCAAACCCTAGTTCTTGGCATGAAAACATATTCCAGATTTAGCTGACACTAGACTCTGAATTCTTAGATGGAATTCTTTCTCAGGTTATGTTGAACACAGCTAAGACCAGGAGTCTCTCCCCTTTATTCAAAAGCTGACCCTGTCCGACAGACTTTTAATCAGACTCCTCAGACACCCACTCCTTTAGCTGAACTTTTATTACTTTACTGAACAGTAACTGCCACTGAACTCCAAATGAACTCACTGTCCCCTCAGCAGCTGATTTTATATTTCCCTCAGCTAGCGTTGGTGATTCAGAGAAAAGGAGCAGCCTGTCAATCAAGCTCAACATTCTAGAGCAGAGTTAACTATTCAACCCCCCCCCCCCTTCTCTGATTTTACTGCATTGGGAAAACAACAATTTAGATGTAGTCTGTCACACCAATTTAAAAAAATCTTTCCAACCACTACTGCATTGAAGGACAAGGATGGTGGCAGTTGTTCTCCCCAGCATTTTCTGGGAACATAATCTAGAAAACGTTTGGACATGTATCTAGCACAACTATCCTATTTAGTAGAAGTGTCCAGTGTGAGTACTGCATACTTCAAAACCATTATCAATTTCACATAAGCAGAAAAAATGATTTGATTATTAAAGACTAGCCTGATCACCGTGCTTCACTATGGTATTTAAGTTCCGTAAATCCAGTTATAATACTGATGATATGAAGTCTGAAATGTAACATTTGTTGTAGGAATTCTAATGGAGAAGATTGTAGTGTTAAAAAAATGAAGTGAAACATACGTACTGTTTCCCCCCCTCTATTGAAGGACCTCTCTGTAGACCACATTGGTGGTTCTGCCCTCAGGTGCTAGGATCACCAGGCTGCTTGGTGAGCTCATTCTGGAGCAGACCACATAGAACTGTCCATTTAAGAAGCAGTCGTCTGTTAAGTCAATTCCCGCCACCTTCAGTTGTCTGGCCTTGGGACTTTGTTGATGGTCATAGCAAAGCAGATCTTGAGGGAGAACTGCAGCCTCTTGAACTCGAAAAGGTTTTCTGATGGTATGAGTGGTATGCGTGATATGAACATTTACTCTCCCTGAGCACTGCCAGTGAGCAGTGTGACCTCAATGATGTTCCCGTGCAGGGCCTTCACTTGCAGTCTCGTGCCACTCCAGAGTTTGGGTGAGTTGAGGTTCTGCAGCAGCATCACAGGAGCCCCCACTTTGAGGAGAACCTTGTGGGCTGGGAAGCCAGAAGGGTTGAGGGTGCTGAGGAACTCTACATGGTAGTGGACTGTGTCATCCATTTGCACTACTGAGTCCACAGATCTGTACTCTATTTCTGCCCCCAGCTCCTGCACCTGACAGACAACTGCCTGTCAGGTGGAGGAGGGATAGGTGAGAGTGTGTCTAAAGCCATTGGAGAGGCTGGCCCAGCGGCAGTGCTAAGGTGCTTCTGCTTGGGCGGCGTCCATAATGGATTAAAGTACCCTGGCCCTTCTCCTACACCTGACAGACACCCGCCAGTCTAGTGTTGGGGCAAGTGTGTTTAAAGGCATCAGGGAGGCTGGGCCAGCAGCAGCAGCACTAAGGCAATCCTGCTGAGCATCCCACCCCTCTCCGACACCTAACAGGCAGTTGCCTATCCAGTGTAGGAGGAGAGGATGGTGGGGTATTGCAAGCCATTGTGGAGGCTGGGCCAGCAGGATCACTAAGGCATTACTGCTGGGGCAGGCTCCCTAATGGCTTTAAGCACCCTGCACCTGCTGCTGCGCCTGTCAAGTGTAGGAGGTGGGGGGGAGTGTGTTTGAAGCCATCAGGGAGGCTGGGCCAGCAGCACTGCTGCACCTCACAGGTGGTTGGCCATTCCTGATTCCTGTTATTAGCTCTGCAGTCTCCTGTGACTGTTTTTTCTTTTTAAACTCAGAACACTGAGCTCTGCAGCTGACCAATCAGAGAGTGGGGGGTACAAGGAGGCAGTAGCCTGGCAGCCACATAGGAAACCATATTTTATCCCTTCTAAAAATCCCTTCTTAGTGAGCATCTGCGTCATGGTAGGAGTGCTCTCCCTGAATGTTGTGTTTCTAGGTCCAGGGATTTCGCCTGGGTGTTGATTTTACAGTGAGGAGACTTTCTTTTATATATAGATAGATGTATTACTGAAATCAGTACAGCATTTTAT